CGGGGGGGGGAATCATTTGGAAACCCCTTCCCCCTTTCTCTTTTGGTTTTTTGTTGGTGTTATTTAAAAAATGTTGCCCCTTTTGGGGAGGCCCACCCCAAAGGGGGGGGGGGTTTTTTAAATTGCCCGGGGGGGCCCCCCGGGTTCCCCCCCCAAAAACGCCCGGGGGGGCGGGGGAAAAAGGGGATTTAGGGGGGATTTTGCTTTTGGAAATTTTGGCCCCCGGTTTCCCCAAATTTGGGGGGGGGGGGGGGGGGTTTTTGAGGGGGCCAACGGGCTCCTTGGTTTTTTTTTTCTTTCCCCAAATGGGCAGGGGGGGTTGAAAGGGCCCCGGATTTTTTGGGGGGGGGGGGTTCCCCCTTAAAATAAAAAAAGGGGGCCCCCCCCCCCCCCCCCCCCCCTCTATCTGGTTGGCGAACCCCCGACGTGCTCCATCCGGGTTCGTGAGGTTCGTCAGATCTGACAGTGTGAAAGCGTTTGGTTGTACGGTTCATGACGATCAATTCGTACAGCCGACCAACAACTGCCTCACATCTCTCCTACAGCAAGGGCCCCGAGTAGTCGATCAACCCACGATATTACATCCGTTGCAAAGCTCATACACGCATGCATATATAATGTGTGTGTGCGTGCTTGTCTTTTTTACTGTCACTGCTGCTACTGCTGCCGCTGCTACTGCCGCTGCTGCTACTGCTGCTGCTGCTGCTGCTGCTGCTGCTGCTGCTGCTGCTGCTGTTATGCTGATGCTGCTGCTGTTATGCTGATGCTGCTGCGGCTACTGGCGCAACCCCCCAGCGTTTGCATCTGTGTAGAGAAAAAGACCCAGCATAACTTCGCCGGCAAGCGCTCGTGCACCTTCGAGACCATCACCATGGCGCCGATCCAGACCAAGGTATGGACTACCTGTCTTGCTATCCAACGGTTTATAAAAAAGCGGGCACAGTACACTCGTTTGTACCCCCGGGGGAGGTATTGATGGAATTCGAGGGTCGGTCAAGATTACGTTTACTTGAGTTTCCTCCATAGCGTTTATCTTGTTTATTTCGCATTGAAAACGGTTCTGACCTCTATCCTGTAGTTCCCGTTACCTATCCCGCAAAGCGCGAAGAAAAGATCATCCGTCTATCGCTAGATATGCCAATAAAGGGTACACAAAGAAGAGAGTGGAAAAGATCCGGAACAAGTCCCACCAGTCGCAGCATGAGGCGATTGACATTATGTTCTGCACGGTGTACCCTCACGAAACACATAATTGGTTCTCTTGACGCATACATACGTCATCGACGAAACATGATTCTCTACCTTGTGCAGCATGCCTTCTGCTTCAGTTCTACCTTCATGTTTGGTTGGATGATGAAACTTGAGACGTTCTTGTTCAGAGACGTGGGGTGTAATTTTCTCAAGGCTTCAATGACTTCGTCTGGGCTTTCGTTTTCTTCCAGCCATCTCGAACACGTTACAATAGTTTGGTCCCATCTTCGGGGGAAAACACTTGCTCTTCTTACTCCATGCATCAAGGTAAGTAACTTATTGGTAGGGAGTCATCGTCCGACGTTACACTAGAAAATAGTGAAGGAATTTTTCTACACGTTCTGCGGTCAACTGATTGTTGCGAGCCCCGTGCCGTTCTCTAAAGAGCATCCTGACTTGGCCCTTGTCTACACCCCATCCACCAGCTCATCGACGTGAGCCTGCTGACAACGCAAGAGCGCGAGTGGCTGGACGACTACCACGCCACGGTGCTCGCAACCCTGGGACCGCTACTCAAGGACAACGCAGAGGCCTTCGCCTACCTCGTTCGCGAAACTCGCCCACTGGAGAAGAGTTGTTGATTGGGATTTCTTGGTTGAGAGATCCGAAGAACAATTTACATCCTCCTCCCACAAACCCCTCCCCGAGAATTCCATGGAGTCCAGGGCTCACGAAACGTTAATTGGAGGTGGGATGCGGAGAAACTGTCGGGAGCAGAGAGGTAGGGGGGTACCACGGTAGAAAAGTCGGGACGAAGGGCGTGCCAGGTCCTGCCCGCGGGTCAACAGCAGTTGTGACAGTGAGCGGGCAAGGCGTCTTGAGGTGCTGGACGAGTCGTGTATTCGGCGCGCCCGGGGGGGGGGGGGAGGGGGACTCCTGGAAACTAATGGGGGAGTCGTTGGGGCCTTGACCTCCCCCCCCCCCAGTGGCGGGATGGAGCGATAAAACGGGTTTTCGCGGGCTATGAATACCTATCACGAGGATGAACCGGAAGCTGGGCCTCTCCTTGCTTTTGATGTGGGGGGGGGGGGGGATCCTTCTTGCTCGCATGATACGAGAGGTGTCCATGCACCTTTATTCAGTCTTGTCTTGTGCCCTAGAGGCGTGAGCTACGGCGACAACCCTTCGCAACGTTGGTGATATGCGGCGCTTAGAAAGCGAATTCCGACCATGGTTCGTTTCGGGGTACTTCATGAATATTGCTGACGACGCGGCAGACGTGGCGTTACATGTGAAAACAAGCACAGACCACGGAGAGTGCATCGACTCGCCGCCAGACGGCCGGGTTCCGGGTACAATTCTACTCCTAGAAAGAAGCTTTCACCCCTTTGTCTGGCAATCAAGAAGGAGACTTCTAATCCGGGGGGGGGGGTGTGAAGATAGCCTGTCAAACGAGTCGCATCGCCCCAAACAAACGCGTGTCAAGGTCCAACCCTCACAAGACCATTTTTTATCGTCGTTGTTCGTGGGGCTGTTCCACCGCTATTTTGGGCGGGAGTCTATCTATGTAGTCTGGTGCACTTTCGCGAACATGTCCCAAGGGGCAATAGTCTTGTGCGGTTCCGAGCCCACTATTGACGCACATAGCATACAGATGCCCCCCCCGGTCTTTCCCTGCACGTGTATGTACAGCAGTAGGCAGAGATCCGTGCAAAATACTCAAGTACAAAATACAAAGAACATGCCTGCTTTACAACCTCGCAAGACAACACGCATCTACGCTCTCGTTCATGTGAGTGTTTCACAATAAGATAGCATGTAGGTACCCACCAGCACTCGGTGCAGCGAGGAAAGCTGGCACCAAAAGGTCTCTCGGCACCAAGGGGGCCACACAGAAAATATTTGTACTTTGTTTGGTATACCTTTCTTTACGCAACTGCGGGTGGCCTGTCTGCCGGACGACCGGATGCCTCTTTATTGTCATCTTCCATAGGCCAGGGCGAGCGACACATCATCGGCTCTGCGAGCGCCTCGCTCTCGTTTTGGGGGCAAAAGCCTTATTCTCAGCGTGTCATGGAGAATGCCCTCAAGTTGTCGGCGCTCGGTTCCGCTTCCCTGCTGTTCGTTGCACCCATCCATGAGTTCGAGGGTGAGTGGAATCGCAGGCCTTGGATTCACTCTTGTTCCGTGTGAGAGTCGAAGCAAACAGCAGCAGTGGTATTGTAGAGCGATGTGCAGCCGGTAGGTGTCACCACTCACCACGCCTGCTGGCGTGACGGCGTTTCTTCACCGTATGGTGGACTGGACTGCCGTCGTCGGATACAGACCAACTAATCGCGCTATAAGTAGAGAACTGGAGTTCGGCGGAGCAAAAGAGCTACTACATGTAGACGTCGTCTGTAGACGCCTCGGAAAAAGATTTCGTTTGTTCTCAGAACTCGATGTTCCGGAAAGACATTGATCGGATTGCTGCTGTACTGCTGTATGCGAACACCAATACGCCACCGGCAACGACATACATAGACAGATGGAGGGACTCTCTCCCACTGCAACATGCTCTATGCTTCATCGGCAATTTTGGACGCCTTGCACTCCTGTATGTATTGAGACCTTCAAGGTTCGTACTTTGCAGCATGGCGTTTCGGGCTTGCGCGGCGGCAGCTTGCTCGTCGCCGAACCAATGGTGACCGCGCCCACCGCAAAGGGACCGTGCCATTTCTGTACAACGCGACCCTGTTTTACAAGCAATACAGTAGACAGACTTCTTTGCTCTCTTTAACCGCAACTAGTTTCTGTCGTAGGTGCTGTAGCTTGGCATTACGGACGCAGACACGATAATGCATGCTCCGAGTGTGTGTAGTACGTACACAAGACGTAGTCCGCAAGTCCCTCCGCAAAAAGAATATACAGAGCAGAGAGTAGAGGGCCCGCAGCAAGGCCGCATAGTGCCACGAGAATATACTGGCCTTATTGAGGGCACCCGGCGTTACTGAGAATCGACCCTGTATGAGGCCGGTACCGGCCTTATTGAGGACCCGTGCGCCTACACTAGGCCATACGAAGCGGACGACGCAGTTTGAATCGTTGCTTTGCGATCACATTCTCTGCGATCATATTCATTTCGTGCTTCCCATCCACCCGTTCTTCGTCTCTCAGGTACATGTCCAACCGGGAAGAAATCAGAAATGAAACAGTTTGAAATTAAATACCATGTTAAAAAATTGACAGGCAGATCCCCACGTTCCGCAGAAAATAAAAGGAAACAAGTCTGTACGCATTTATGTGGTCTTAAGAGGCGAACACCTGACGTAGGGAAAACAGGTCAAGCGAGAATCGCATTCAACGGCTCAAGCCGGCACGCGGTAGTCTGGACCTCGGCCCAAACGTACGCCCCCACTCAACAAAGAAAGGCAAATACACATCAAGTCGTACACCCCTTGTTGTTTTGCAACCCCAAAAAAACAACCGATCAGCACACAGCAGCACCATGCATTCATTCCTACCATACTTCCGAGAGACGATTGAAACGGCATATGTAAGGGTACAGGCCACCCATTCCTGACAAAACTTCCTGAAAAAAATCGAGACCACCAACGAACAAGGCAAACGCTACCAAGATTCCTTCCATGCGCTCATCACATGTGCAAAAATTCCCTCAAGTCCGCCTGCCGCGTGGGCAGTGCAGCATGCGCTGCGATCATCGTCATCTTAGCCCTCTGCAGAAGATAGCGGCCTCAGTATTGCCGCTGTCTTCCCCAGCCTTCTCCAGAGCGCCGAAGGGCGCCGAGACCGTGGCGCGCAGGAGAGAGGGTGTAATATGCGGCGAAACCAGCGTCGCTTCTACGGATACTGGCCTTATTGGGGGCAGGATGGGGGCAATAACCGGCCTTATAGAGAGCAAAGTCTGTGTCAAGCGATATCACCGGCCTTATAGAGGGCAGGCGGCCTTATTCAAGCGGCCTTACTGCGGCCCCCCTACCGTATCGCAATAATGCTACGGATTCAATGCTAATCTATCTTAGACTCTTTTCGATGGATAGAGATGGATTCGTTTGGTCATAATGAGAAAATAAAAAAAGATATTGTCAGTCATTGGCCGAGGGGCTGCAGTCCCTCCAAAGAAAGCGGAGAGTACCGAGCTCCTTGCCAGACAAAGGGTGACTTGACTTCAGTATGAAATTTGTCCCCACGTGTTTTGGGGGCACTTTTCATACTGAAGCCAAGGCAGCAAATTTTTCCAGTACCAGGCTATGTACAGTAGATGTACAGTAACAGTTTCTTGGTTTTACAGTACCACCTACAGTAGGGGACACGCGGCTTGGGAAGTTGTGTACACCAAGTCAGAGGCCGACGAGAGGCATTGCACGGCAGTGTATCACACAGCGTACCACCTGACCCAAGCATGATAGACAAGGGTTCTCACGTGCGTGTTACACAGCGGAGCCTACGGCGACTACGGTGCGGTAAGCAGACATTTGAGCGCTGTGTCCCCAACGTGTCCCCATGTGGGCGTCCCGTACTGAGGGTTAAAGCAACGCGTGCGTGCTTGTATGTGGTTTTGAATTACCGCAACAAGCGCGCGTGTGTGCGTACGTACGTACACCTTTGGGTGCATGAATTCGCTTGTGTGTCTTGACAGCTGCATGTACCTTTTGTAGGACACGTATGAGCTGGAACTCTATACTACATATACAGTAGATGGTGATCCAGGAGCTCCTCCCCACCGCCCTACTCCCCTAACCTAGCCCTACTTCCCCAATTGCATTATTTGTCCCAACTTGTTTACGTTATACAAGACACACCCGGCGAAGGCTTTCTTGTAATCTTGTTTTTCTAGAAGTGTCAGTGTTTTTTTTTCATTTACATCCCTCCGTCGCGAAACAACCACCCGCCCCTCCCGCTCGAACAACAGAGGTGAGACGAAGCAAGCACGTCGGCGAACGATCTGTCTTTCCCTTCGTCTGCATGTGGGCCAGCTCGACCCTATGGTGAGGCGCTTATTAAAGTTTATTGCATACATGGTTCTGTTTTGCACGTAGACTACATGTTGTATGCAATCAAAGTTGTCTATAAATACTAGGCGGCTGGCTTTTTCATCGATCGATCGGGCACGGTACAAAGCAATGATATCTGTGTGATGAATCCTCGCCCGAAATCGTGCTTCACGGTAAACACCGGGCAGCTTGTCCGTCAGTGAGAAGTGGTAACAACTTATGTATGTGTGTTTGGCAGATCCGGTACAAGTACAGTTGTTGTTGTTGTTCTTGTCTTCACATTAAAAACCGTTCCGTTCTCTCTGCCCAGTACCTTCTTCTGTATTAGTCTATCGATTGACGGGGTCGATTCCCGTGGTCACAGGCTAATTTACCCAAAAAAGGTATACGAAAATAAAATGGACCCGAAGGGTCCGCAAGCCAATAAAGTCAACGACAGATAGTCTAGGCCACTCCGCTCGCCTCTACGCGGCGAAAAACACTGGGACTGCTCTGGTGCAATCCCCATTTACGTCGTTGGCGTTACCGCACCGCCCTCCCCCCCCCCCGGCCGCCCTCGCGAAGGGTTTGGAAAGAGCTCACGTTGCTAATAGACGCGTGCCAACAAGAACAGGAACATGCACAGCGGTGCTCCTTCTCCAAACGGCATGCGTTCGAAATCGGTCTAACGGCTATACACGAGATGCGCCAAACGACCCCACCCCCCCTCCCCATCCTCCATCGGCCACACACCCTGCTCCTGTTGGTTGCGGTGGTGCCAGGTTAATTTACGGGCTCTTCATCGGAGACATAGTCCCGACCGTCGTAACGAACCTCTTGGGGTTGGCGTGCTCTTGCTACTACTGCGCCGTGTACGCGTGGGCGGTGGAGCCGGCGTCGAGAAAGTCTAGCACCTACAACCTCTTCGCGGCAACGTTTCTCGGGATCTGGTGAGTAGGTCGTTAGTGGTTGCTGCCTTCCGGCTTTGGCTCGGTCGGGTTGCAGGAATTTTTGTGCGTACAGTACAGGGGCCGTACTTGTCGTGGCGTGGCATATGGTGTCCAGCTCCCTGTTGGGATTGTTGCTGTGTGTTGTAGGTCTCACAAGCAGAGAGCGTGCAAATCCACTGCTGTTGATGCTGCTGCTGCTGCTGCTGCTGCTGCTGCTGCTGCTGCTGCTGCTGCTGCTGCCGCTGCTGCGATGGACCGTGCTAGGTTTCGTCATTGTGGCATCGGACGGTGTTTTCTCGCCACAATGGGTGTGACGAAGACGATGTGTTCGCGCGCACAAAGAGCAAGCAGCGTGCCACGGGTGCCCCCTCTTGCAAGCTCCCACAGACTCCACTCCGCCCCCCGCCCCCCCCCCTCCCTGTCGAGAGAACCGAAACGCCTTTCATGCAACCTTGGTAACCAACCCTTTTTTCGTCCGAGCAAGAAGTCAACCTGACCCCCACCGCCCCAAACAAACATGGCCGCGCTTTTCGAACACGACACGAAACAACAGCGTGGTGGTGACTTTCTGCCTAGGCACCTTCTCCCCACGACCGGAGTCCTGGGTGTCGATGCAGGACGCCGACAGCACGGACAGCGGGGGGGACGAGAGGGCGCAGCGCTTTCTGGGGATAGCCGCGTCGGCCGCGACGGCTATCCAGTACGGCGCCCCTCTGGCGGAGCTGGTCAAGGTGGGTGGTAGGGGACCGACTTCACGAGGAATGATAGGTGCTGTATGTAGAGAGGGGGGGGTCGTTACCCTAACCCTCATCCTCCGTAACCCTTAGTAAAACCAATATTACTATCCTCGCGAATGGTACGGGGTGGGTGTGTGCCTAACCCTAATATCCTCATCCCCCGTAACCCCCAGAACATTTCTATCCTCGCGAATGCTACGGGGTGGGTGGGTGGGTGGGTGGGTGGATGGATGCCGGGTTGCGTGGTAAGCCCAAGGGCACCACCCCGTCCTCTGTTGTTGTTGTTGTTGTTGTTGTTGTTGTTGTTGTTGTTGTCTGGACGTTGAATCCGTCCAGACGACTGACTGCTGTCTTCGTACCTCTTTCACGCGGGTGGGCTCAACGAGGCCAACGGGGTTATGATTGGGTCCCGGAACAAAAAACGAAGAGCAGTATAGTAGCGGCTCGTCACGATACCGTTGTTGTTAATCTCTCCTCTCGCGTTCGTTTTTGGTTTACATCGCATGTTGTTTTTTGGTACGATTTCTCCCTTTTTTCTTGCACTGCACTGCCACGATATTTTCGCTCACGCCGCTCGCGTAGACTGTGAGTTCTCTGTGTAGGGGTGGTTGGAACCCTCGCGATTGTTCCATGTATGCATCGACGTTTTTGTTGAGGTCGTATGCACTCTTCCGCCCTTAACTGCTGTGCCGTTGGGTGTGATGCCGTGTCGGCAAGGCTACGCCATGTGGTGAGGCTCAATGCCAACCCTGCTATTCGGGTCGTGCTATTTAATGTTTGCATACGTGTGCAACACAAGCTGAACCCGTACACGTATCCTTGATGTCGTGTCTTGAGAAGTTTATGTACGTTTGTGCGTGTTTTCATGCTCTGCGTTTTGCATCGTCACGTGACGCAGGTGATACGCCGGAGGTCAACAGAGGGGATGTCGCTCGCGCTAGCGGTGGTTTCGTTGGTCTGTTCGACGCTGTGGATGTCCTACGGAGTGATGCTGGTCAACGCCTTCATCTACGTACCCAACGTGTTGGGGGTCTGCTTCAGCGTTACCCAGGTGTGACACAGGCGTGTGGTTGTTTGCTCTGGAAGTATTCTTGATGACGATGATGGCGGTGATGACGGGCGGCGATGATTTTCATGTTGCTGATGGCTTCCACACGATTTCCCACATGGTTAAAATTACAACAAGTCTGGTTGGTGTGGTCTGTCCCTCCCTTCCCCGTCCAAGTCAACGGTCTAACAACTACGGCGTGCGTTTGCACGAGTACACCCCCCACCCCCCCCGCCCTTCTCTTCTCAACAATGACCATGGCCCTTACCCATGCAGTCCACAGTCTTCCGACTACAACATGCGTTTTCACGAGTACACCCCCCCCCCCCCTCCCCCGGCCCCCCTCTTCCAAACCCTGCCTGCCTATCCCCAGTGGTTGGCCTTTTGCCCGGTCCCAAGAAAAACGGGCAGGCCGGGGCGCCCCCCAAACCCACCCAAATGGGCCCTCCGAAGAGAAAAAAACAACAGGGCGG